GTTATAAACTATCCACTTTTCGTCGCCAGTAACTAGGTTCTTCCTCGGAAATGGATCATTCTCATTGCGTTTCAGTAGCGGCGAATCACAGATGCTAATCCGTTGCGTCAAATGAATTTTCTTTAACTGGTGAGGGATCCATAAATCAAGTTTCTTCACATAACCAAGGGTTTTTAATATTTTTCAATGCATGTATGCGACACATTGAGCTTCTCTGCAATATCTCGTGTTGTGCTGTGACGATTTGAATCGATAATGGCCTTGATATGGGTTTCATCCACTTCGACAGGGCGGCCAGATCGTTGTGAATTTTTCAGTGAAAAATCACCGCAACGAAATCTTTCAAACCAATTTCTCCATATACGGCACATAACTTCTTTTGTGCTTGCGATGCGTTCTTGCCTTTTCGGAAGTAATACAATAAAATGTGTCGGAAGTGCACGTCCTGTTCTTTCATTTTTAAATTGGGATAAAAACAAAACTAAAGAACTAAACAAAAAAATTTTTTACTAATTAACCTAGAAGCACATACAGTAAGAAAAAATATAGGTTAGATGCTCTGGCCACGTTAACAAAAGAAAGTATAAATTTGAATCTGTCAACAAAAACGGCAATGACTTAGTTGCCCACCCAATACTTCCTGAATCAGATCAATTTTAAAGTAAATGTGGATTCCACACTCCCATTCGTAGGTCTGAATGGAATGCCATAATTAAAGCGTTCAATGACATATGCTAAGACTTAAAATAATGCGATACGATACACTTACTTGTCCAGATTGAATCGAGAAGTCGAAAGATCCTCAGTTGCTTCCTCTTCCGAGAGGGAATCATCGCCTGTATTATCAATATTAATCAGTGTTCGCGATTTCTTGGCTTCGCTTTCGCCTTCATTCTGTTTTGCTTCAGCTGCTGACACCAATTCTTTTGCCAATTTGCGTCTCCTTGCTCCACTCATACGAGCAACCGGGACGTCTTCAGTGTCATTGGCTGAAGTTTTATCAGTCTTGGGTGCCGGAAAAGCCGTAGAAAGCCAACTGCAGAGGGTCTTTACTTCGCGTTGACCAGTCAGGAAGACCAGAATACCGCCAGGTGGGGAGTCTTTGTGAATAGTTATGACCTGATGAAAGAGGCACAAACATGAGTACTTTCGGTAAATCATAATGAGTTCAGCAATATCTTAATATCGAATTGATTGTAATAGAGAGACATCTAAATGATAGCCTTACACGAAACTTATTAAATAATGGAAACGACATATTTTATTGGAAAGTTGACTTAATTAGTCAGTTTCATTAGACAATTTGATGGCTCTACTGTTCTTAAGTGTCGGAATTAAATAAAAATTGTGACTTACGTGGATGATCTTAGTAATTTAAAGATTTTTGCTAACGGCATTATAATTCTACCGGCCATAGAGAGAACTTAGAAACGAAAACGGCTGAGTTCAAAATAAATCAAATCAAGAAGTTCTTCACGTCGAAGACTATATTTTGTTAACCAATTCCACTATAGTACAGATTGTTAAGCTCAAAGGAACTTGACGAAAAGCATTTTCCAACATCCGTTTTAGGCGATGAACTTGCATCAAAGACCCCATAATATAATACTTAAACTACAATATTTCTCTATTGACTATCACACTGGTTGACATTTAAAAATCGGAGCAATGGGCGGGGCATTGAAAGCTTGACTTCTTTAAAAACAGACGCACCACCAACTACAAGTCACATTGTTAGCAATTTTTGAATCAATCCTTTAGCGTGGATATTCATCTTTCTTAATACAATAAAGCCACTTCTCACAAAAAAAACACGAACTAGAACCGTCGTAGATCTAATGGCAGACATAATTAAATAATTATGCGCAATAATGATTCCAAGAATTTCGAAATTATTTCTGAAAATAGAAGGTACCGCTAGAATAAAAGTCTTTGTAAATATTAATGACCCGAAAGAGACACAGCCATGACCACTGGCTATTTATTTCATTCCAGCAGCTCGATTTGATCTGCCAAATGCATGGGTTCAAAAAAATAATCAAACCCCCGTAAGTGTGGCCCTAGTAACAAAAGTAAGACTTAATCAATAAACCGCTTTAATAAATAGTACTTACTTTACGGAAAGCCGCCTTGAGATAGTCCTCCGGAGTAACGCGAGAGAAGTGGCACGTGACAGGGTACTGACGAGACTCCACTTTTATAATTGGTGGAGCGCCAGGTCTCCTGGTTTTAGCCTTATCAACCGATTCGTCCTCATCTGAATCGCACTCCAAGCAATGGTTACTTCCATTACCCTCTTTACTAGGTGCTTTCAGAGTTGGAAAAAGCTGTCTGTTGTTAGCAAAATCCTCGACTCGCAGTGTGGCAGACATGATAATTAACTTCAATGGAAGACGAGCATTTTTCGGATCCTTGTCGTAAGCCTTTCGACGCAAGCGAATGACAAGGGAGAGGAGACCCAGAAGAATGTCAGTGTAGACTGAACGTTCATGCGCTTCGTCAATGAGGATTGCAGAATAGGCCGATAATTGGAAATCCTAGGGAAAAAGAACATGGGGATACGAGTAAATGCGTTAACGAACTAAGTTCTCATTAAACAGACATGTGAAAACGTCTAAGAAATAAACAAAACTAGAAAGCACTGAAGCAAAAAAATTAATAGCTGACAAAGAATGGACTTTGAAAAGCTGCTTACTTAGTTCTAATTAAGAGATTTAAAGCATTGATCTAGAAGAATGAATAGAAGATACACGTTTCACGTATGTTAATATAAAGTAACTTGTGAAATTCGCGATTAAATTAGATAATATTGATCTAAAAAGTTGTTTAAAGATTCCAAACCGAGATGCAGTCAGAAACTTAAAGGATGAAAAGTAGGAAAATATATACACTTCACCGGCACAGATATTGTTTTCAAATTAGCGGAAAAAGAGCGAGAGCAACGCACTCCCGGCATTTACTCGGAGATTAAGATAATATGAGATGAATACATATCTGTCTCAAGAAGAGATTCGAACGTGAGAATAAATACACTCTTACAGTCAATTTAAGCAGCCATATCAAATGGGAAAACCAGTAGAAGACGCTTGCATTAATATTAAACGTGCTTAATATGAATGAACGCAGAAAACATGAAGAGAAATAGTAAAAGGTACCTTCTTCATTTCTTGGAGTAGAATGCCATCGGTCATGAATTTGATTTCTGTATTGCCATTTGTGTTCTTCTCGTAACGAATATGGTAAGCGACCTCGCTACAAGTTGGAGAGGACGATAGATAAAATCAAAAACCGACAAAAAAATAAAAATTGAGAAAATAAATACCTGTTGTTTAGACCCAATTCTACGGACACACGTTGGGACATTGATATAGCAGCCACACGACGAGGCTCAGTAATGCCAATCTTATATCCATCTCTAAAAAAGCATTAGAAATTGGGTTTAAAAAACAATTTTAACAAAATTAGTACACTATCATAAGACCAACCTGGTGTAACCAGCTTCATAGAGAAACTGGGGAATTTGAGTAGTTTTACCAGAACCAGTAGCGCCACAAATTAGAACGACATCATTCTCTCTAATCTGCTCCATGATTCGCACTTCTTCCGCAACAACTGGAAGAGCAAGTCGAGCAGTTTGAATCGCAGGACTACGGTTGACGAGAACATAAGTTGCAACGTCCAAATCAGAAGGAACAGTTGGAATTTCAAGCTCTTTAACATGACGAATGCCTACTTTATCCGAATTGTTTACCTCAGGAGCAATAACTGATGGATCACACTCCGAAAGATGAATCTTGTCATTTAAAGCCGAAGATTCCGTAGCATCAGGCTCAGCTTCTTCGGAGGAACTAAAATCATTTGTATCAGCGGACGACTGCGAAGCATTTGAAACCTCATCCAGACGCCACTTACTAGTTAACTTCTGCTTCGCATTACCTGCTATTCTGAGGAAGATTTGGAAAATATACCATTTTACTTACTTGTCAAGCTTTTTTTGCTTGCTCCGATTCCTAGAGAATAACTTATCAGTTGCTGCAGTCTTGGCATCATAGCCATACACAGATCCTAGTTCTTTCCAAAGTTCGTTTCTCTAAAGACAAGTAGAAAGTAAGATGAGGATAAATTACCGAAAGCTTCTTTTCCTTCTTAGCAACCTGTCTTTGTAGTTCCTTCCGCTTAGAACGCGATAAAATTTTCGGTATTGGTGTTTCACCATGTTTCTTTTTCTTCTTCAGGTTCTTCTGTGAAGGCAGCACCAAAGGGTTGCTTTCGTCATAATTACCATTAAACGAATCACTGTCTAGGATAATATCGGCCATGTGGTTTGAGAAGCGTTTCGATATCAGCGCATCTGCTTCAGATATTTAAAAGTGGTATAACGATACAATCATAAATAATCTTAAAATAAAATTTTTACAAATTTTTGAAAAAATTAAATTGATTGTCTTTATGTAGTTATAAAATTGTTCAAAAGCTTTCGTAATTTTTCTTTTCAAAAATTTTATATTAATTTAGCTGTGAAAACTATACCAACTTTTTTAAATAGTTATTTTTAACGATTTTTCTCAGTTTCTTTTTCTGAATGCATACTTAAGCGCAATATCTGACGACTTGTGCATTTCTTTGTGAATATGGTTGGTATTTGTGGATTATTCTTTAGTTTTCAAATTTTGGATATCATTTTTTAGTTTATTTCGGCTTAATCTTGATTAATTTTTTACTTAAACGTTATTATTTCACCACCTATTTCTTGTTACTTACGCAAGGCAAAGTATTTGGCACAAATGATCCTGGCAGGGTCACGTATTCTTGGCCGAGCATTTGCTAAGGCACTTCAAGAAGAATACGCTGCAAGTAAAAATGCTGCTAGAGCTCGATCTGGTGCCAATCAATCTTCATCTCGACAGTCAGAAACTTCCTCTAGTGTGTCAGGGATCTCGTTAGAGGAGGCTAAACAAATCCTTAATGTAAGTGATATCTACAACACAGAAGAAGTTAACAAAAGGTACGATCACCTCTTTACGATAAATGATAAGAAAAACGGTGGTTCCCTCTATCTTCAATCCAAGGTATTCCCTTTTCTAGAAGTCTTTTAAATCTCTTACTAGATATTCAGAGCAAAGGAGCGTATTGATGAAGAATTACAAGCGCAACCTCATGACGCAACCCCCCATGACGAAGTATAGTATTCAATACTTCCATTAACATCTAGGCTAATCTGTTCCCCCTCCCTCTCGCCTATTTTCACTTTGATGTTCCTTCTCCTCTGTATAGCCTGTTTTTAACTAAAATGCTAATGATATCTATCAAAACGCCTGCCATTTGGTATATAAAAATGTTTCAGTAAGGAGGACTTATTTGATGGAGACTTTGTCCGTATCCTCGCAAGTACCAGATCTTTCTTTTACTCTTTTTTCTAATACTTGAGTAGTCAGTCGAAACAATGTCAGTCGAAAATTGTTTGTGAACATATCAATTTCTTTCCGAACACCTCAAGTGCAAGAAGTCTCCTGGCGAAGACGGTATTCATCCGACATTTCTAATTAGAATGGGATCAACAGCCAAGGAAACCATGATGACGCTTTTCAACAAAATCTGGGAGACCAGTCTCGTACCTAACCAATGGAAAGTTGCCATAGTAATACCAGTACTAAAAAAGGACAAAGACCCTAGCAACTTTGACAACTATTGACCTATCTCCCTCACATGCGTGATGGCTAAACTTATGGAAAGAATGATTAACAGGAGGCTGACCTGGTTTCTTGAGACTAACAATATTCTTAGGAGTAAACAAGCTTGTTTTAGGCCACAAAGATCAACTAACCAACAAGTGGTCACTTTCTCCCAACACATCAAAGATGCCCTTGATGCAAGAAATATCCTTCGGCTGTTTTCGTCGACTTCAAATCACCATATGACTTAGTATGGAAAGGGAAGCTAATTCTAAAATTGGCAAAGATTGGTATTAAGCATAACATGCTAAATTGGACAAAAGCATTCATTGGACAAAGATCGTGTAAAGTCAGATATGGAAATGCTCTATCAAAATCTAATCTTGTACAAACAGGCCTTTCACATGGAGCAGTCACAAGCTGCACTTTTTCAATGTCTTCATCAATGACATAGCCGAATTGGTACAGACAGTCACGGGCATCAAGTGCTTAC